ATCAAGTTCTTGCTAAACGTCATATGAATTTTAAGTGTGCTTTTGTATCAGTAATAGAAGGCAAGCCTATGTGTTTTCTTTTCATCATTAATATATGTCCTTTTCAGTTTATGTATTAAATTTTGTTACCATTGATTGAGGAAACTTTAAACAAGAATAGTACACTTAACATAAAGAGTCTATTTGCACTTTGAAAAGGAAAAGATGTGAATTCTGTTGGTATAGAATTGCAAAGTATGGTTCACCAGTTGTTACAATTTGAATAATTGTGTAGTTTTGTTTGTTTTGGTTTCGTTTATCCTGATTTCTTTATGCACGCTTAAGAACCGAATCCCCCTTCTAATTCTTGTTTTGTTCTATTTTTGTGCATATGTACTTGGAGCAAAATAGAGTCTTACTCGAGACTCAACCCCACCCGAGCATGGAGTTACGCATCTCATACCATCCTCCTTAGAATGCACCCGATAGCAAGAAAACAAGCGAAAAGCCTGGGGTCGCCTGTGGCGGCCTTCGTCTTTTATATTTACTCTATTTGAATTTTGATGTCAATTTGATCTCGTCATTTGGGGTTTGCTTCAGTTTGTTTCTACACTTAACATGGGGTCCATGATTTAGTTTTTTTAATTTCCTCATTTAATATTCTCCCCTAGTTAGTATATAATGGTGCTCTTAAAGAATTTTTGCAAATGATATATTTTTATAGTCATAAATCTATTATCCTAAATTTCGTCGGTTAATCATTTTTAATGGATTTTAAAAGGTGCCTTACCCCTTCCTTTTGAGATAACTAGAACCCTTACCTAGAATTTCTAAAACTAAGCAGATCATATAAAACAGAGTTAACTTTAAGCATTATTTTGTAAATAGGTGTCCTAATTCACCTTTAAAATAATTAGGTAGCGACTCTCCTACTTAATTAAACCTTCAGAATTACTAATATGTTATACTCTAGTTTGACCCGTGTTAAAATGGGGTATAACAACTATAAAAGATCTGGGAACCCCGTAATCATCATCTTCGTCGGTCCCCTGTTTATCCGATTGGGTCGTGGCTGGTGTCGATAATTGCTATATAGTATTTTTTGTGTTCGAACTTGGTTCCTTCGATGTCATCAGTGTTGATATTGGAATCACTTCTTCGACTACAAACATTTCCTTTACGGTCGGTTGCTCCCCGTAGATCGTTTTAATCCTTTCTGGCATTGGGAATTTTAACACCTGGTGAAGGATCGAGGGCACTGCCCTCATGCTGTGGATCCATGGTCTCCCGAACAGGGAATTGTACCTCATGTCCCCTTCGATCAAGTAAAACTTGGTTTCCTAGATGGTCCCGACTACGTTTACTGGTAATGTTATTTCTCCCTTAGTAGTTTTACAAGCCATGTTGAATCCGTTTAGCTAATCTCGCTAGAAAACTAGCCATATCGATCTAGCACTCGGGCTGCAGGCACGATTTGGTCCTGCAGGCTGAGTTGTTCTATAACTGTTGATCGAATGATGTTGACCGAGCTACCTGGATCAATTAACACACGTTTAACTCGAGATTTATTCATGAGTACAGATAATACCAGTGCATCGTTATGAGGATGCATGATTCCCTCTACATCCTCGTCGTTGAAAGAAAAAGTTCCTTCTGGTATGTAATCTCGAGTTCGTTTCTCCCTCGTGATGGATACTTTGGTGCGCTTTAACATCGGGCCTTGAGGAATATCGACTCCTCTGATGATCATATGAATGACGTGTTGAGGTTCTTCTTGCTCGGTTTGTTTATTGGAGTCACTATTTCTAAAATGAGTCTTGGCCCGGTCACTTAGGAATTCTCGAAGATGCTCTTTGTTGAATAACGGAGCTACCTCTTCCCTCAACTGTCGGTAATCCTTCGTTATATGTCCGTGAATGCCATGATATTTGCACATATGGTTTGGATCCCTTTAGGCTGGGTCATATTGTAGAGGTCGAGACCATTTGGTATCTTTGATGCGTTCGATAGCCGATACGATATCAGCAACATTAACGCTAAAGTTATATTCTGATAACCTTGGTGCTTCTTTAAGTCCGATAGGCCTGCCAAAGCCATTCTTGCTCATGAGTCCCCGGTTGCTCTGGCCTCGGTCATTTCTTCTTTCATTTCATAAAAAACTCCGTCCGGACCTGTTCCTTCTTCGATCCTCAATGTACGCCTGATACCGATCCCTGTTTTTGACATTGGTTCATGATTGATATCTCTCTTGACTCTGTCGACGGGTCTAATAGGATAAACGGATTTGGAAAGAGCCCCAGTTGATCATCTTCGACTCTGATCTTCGATTATATCGGTTATGCACATTAGCCCAAGTGACAGCCGGATATTCTATCAGATTTTTCTCAATTGCTGTGAAGCCACCGAACTTCGAACATTGAGTCCTTGGGTAAAAGCTCGAACGACCCAATTATCAACGACCGATAGCAGGTCCATCCGTTCCATTTGAAATCAAGATACGAACTCTCTGAGCATTTCATTGTCTTTTTGCCTTACTTTGAATAGGTCCGATTTCCTGGTTTCGACCTTGATAGCACAGCGTGTGCTTTCACAAAATTGTCTGCAAGCATAGCAAATAAGTAAATAGAATTAGGGGGTATGTTGTGATACCATATCATGGCTCCCTTTGACAAGGATTCTCTGAATTTCTTCAGTAAGACAAACTCGGTTGCATCATCCTGCAAGTCATTTCCTTTGATGATGCATGTGTATGAAATGACGTGCTCGTTTGGGTCAGTCGTTCCGATGTACTTAGATATCTCGAGCATGTGAAATTTTTTAAGGATCAATTCGGGGCCGCGCTCGGAGGGAAAGGCTTCTGCACAAACTTCTTGGAATCTAAGCCTTTCAATATTGGAGGCGCTCCCGGGATCTGGTCGACCCTAGAATTGTAGGTTTCCACCTTTTTGTCGTTTGCTTCGATTTTATTTTCCCTGATTTTATTCGTTTTGTCAGTTCCTCGAGCAGTTTTATGATTTCGGGGTTGTTACCCGACTCGTTCCCATTTGATCTTTCCCCGATCGGTTCCTCCCTACGAGTGATCTCACGAGATGGCTCGGGCTCGATCCTGCTCGGTTCGCGGCTCTGGTGTTGTAATTGAGCTATTGCCGCCTATTGAGCCTGCAATATTTTGAAGATCATCCGTAGATTGACCCCGTCTCCTTCATTGTTTTGAGTATTTTGTGTTGTTGACCGGGCTCCACCACGGATTCTATTCTCGGGGTCAATAGGGTGGCTTGTGTCGATAGCCATATACGAATTAGCGTCCAACGGGTCCGCAATTAGAATTCTGATGGGATTAACGAGTGATACCTCGTTATCGGGCGCTATATTATTATTTTCACCATGATGACCAGACTCACCATTAGTAGGTAGAGGTGCTAATTGTGAGTTTGATATTTTGAGCTTAATCCTGAAATCAAAGACACTTCAAAGAACAAGTGAAAAATAACATGTGTTATGGCAATTCATATCAAATAACCACTATTATCTTTATCCCCACGGTGGGCTCCAAATTGTTTACCCTCAAAATTGGATAACAATTGAATTTATACGTGGTTTTAAGGATACGTGATATAATTTGATACAAATTGAGAAAATAGATTAATATTGAAATCAATGACAGAAAAGTGAACGGAAACCACATAAGTTTAACAGTGTTAGCCTTGAAGGTTGATCACCCTCGAGTCAGAAAGCGCCTCAATCAATGTCAGAACAGAATAACAAGATAATGAGAACTAGAAATAATAGTGTATTACCTTTTGATGCATGTTACAATGTCCATTACAAATAATCAGACCCCCTTTATATAGTAGGGAGGTCCTACTTTAGATACAATTCTACAAAAGATAAGAAATCTCATGATTTGTTAATTAGTTGGTCTATCGTTGATACGTGCCGAGATTCCTGCCGTGTTATCCGACCGATTACGGATATTTCGGCCTTCCGTTATTTGGTCCGATAATTTTTTCTTGAGCTTGATTGGAGTTAGGGCCGGCTCTGGAGCTACGGGCTCGATGATCTTGAAGACGCATGCTCTAACTTCATACCTTGGTTCGATATAATCCAAGGTCGATCTTTAGCTAGCCCATCAAGTTTCAGCCTCGATCTGTCATGCAATAGACGAGCCCCGTTTCGACCGTATACAATAATATTTATTCATCCTTGTTTGTAACCATGCATTTTCTGCTAATATGACCGAACAATAAAATAAAAAGGTTCTTATTAAAAAATTGACTGCATTTTTCCCCCACCAATAATTGACTGCAATTAGTGGTAGCAAAATGATTAAAAGAACAATTATCCACCTATATTATCAATTAAAAATAGATCGGACAATGAATTATTTAAAATATATCAAATATGGATAAAGAACCATATTATCTACTTAGAAAATGAATAACTAATGGGTTTGAATATTTACATTTGTAAAACCTCAAATTGGAGCTAGCCTCATGTTTAGGAAACTAGAAATCTCCCAAAAGTGATCATGAAGTCATGGATAATATAGATATTCCATATTATCCGCTGGTTAAACCTTTTTTATCCATATTAAATATAGGTCAAATCGGATAATTTATCCGTTTTTTGCATTACCTTTTTTAACTCGTCCATATCCGGCCAACCGTCCCCTTCCCACCCCGGCCTTTTGCCACCCCTAACTTCAATTGTAGCCAAACTTGGATTCGAAAAATTCTCTCTCCCTATTTTTTTACGAATAACTTAGCTTGATAATGATCACGTGAAAAAATTATTTTCACCGTCTTGGATTTAAGTTTGAAAAACAGTAATACCGAGTCAAACGAAGAACTACTCCTCAACTGATGCCACAATACATGCACCTCAAAATTCTCCACAACTCTTTGCTAATAACACTCCCCCACACTCAAAAGCTAAACCAACTTCGAAACAAATTCTCCTTTTTAAACAATCAATCGTATCACAATATTGTTATCTTCATTTCTTCGCTATTCATTTCACAACTCACAACACAGCATATATACAATTAAGGGCTCCCTTCTTTCTAGTCCAAAAAAATCATGACTTCCTCTAAAGCTTTTCTCTACTTGGTCTTCGTCTTTTCACTTCATTTCTTCACTGCTCTTTCTACTGAATTCACTGTTGGTGGTGACAAAGGATGGGTTGTCCCTCAAGCAAAAGATGATCAAGTATACAACGAGTGGGCTGCCAAGAATAGGTTCAAGGTTAATGACACCTTAAGTAAGTACATCTTCATCTTACCACTATATATTATTGAACTTTAATATGCTTACCCAAAAAAGAGACATCCAATATTTTTACTTAGTAGATACAGTGACAATCGTACCCACATTTTTCTTGTGTGGAAATAGTTTCAGAGTTATAAATATATTTCAAATTTTCGTAGTGGCTGTACCAACACTCTGCTGTCAGTAGTCGCAGTTTTTTGATAGTTTCCATTATCGATCTATTTTTTTTTGTCACCATAGCAATATGTCATTATACGAAGCGGTTTCATTTGACACCATTTCGTCAACAAAAAAGGAAAAAATAAGAGTTACTAGTAGTAATATGTATAGCATAGGATATATAACACCACTTACATTGACTCCTAGTCCGATGGTCAACTTGATTGTACAATGTTACTCCGTACAAACTATATTTGTTAAAATAATTTCAAAGTACATATAATTTTTTTTAAAGGAAATTTTCATAGTGGGTGCACGGACACAGTCCTTTCAATATATTTACACTGTCAATATATATAATATAATCAAAATGTCATTGTCCATATGGAGACATTAATTATCCATTACTTCTGTGGGTTTCTATATATGTGTAGGGTTTGAGTACAATAAGGACTCGGTGTTGGTGGTGACTGAAGCAGAGTACGAGAAGTGCAAGTCAGCACATCCAATCTTCTTCTCCAACAATGGAACATCCATCTACAAATTGGACCGACCCGGCTTGTTCTACTTCATCAGTGGAGTATCAGGACACTGCGACAGGGGTATGAAAATGATAGTCAAAGTATTAGAAAAACCAGAAACCCCACCTCAAGTTTCTAATCAGACTACTGGTGGAACACCTACTAAAAGTGGTGCAACTCAGTTGGCTAACGTTGTTGCTTCTCCAAGTCATGTTATGGTGTTTCTGGTTTCATTCTTTGGAGCTATTTTTATTTAGTTTAGAAATCCTGAAGATTATCATTTGTTTTAGGGTTATGTAGTGTGATTTTAGGGCGAGACTAGTTAGGATATTAGAAAATTATCATCGACTCTTTGAACTTGCTACTTTGATGTTTGGAATAATTATTTTGCTCGGTTTGGATTTTTTTACATAACAATCGCCCTTTCTCTAGTCTTTTTGATTTCTCACCCGGTATTCGGTACCCACCCGACTAATCCGGATTTGCATCGGGAAATCCCACATTAAAGGCGACTCAATACCCAGGGTTCGAATACGAAACCTCTGGTTAAAGATGAAGGAATACTTACTGCAACTAATTATGAGAGCATCGATACGACTATATCTGAATTTCAAGCTAGTTGAAATTAGCGTATGCATTTACGATACTATGACTAATTAAGTTTTGCAAAGTATTGTACTGAATATTTATTTTTGTCGCCCAAAGTGATATCGTGAATGTCCACATCTTCATAAAAGAAAAATAATTTAAGTTATATATACTAAAAAAAATGTAATTTTTTTTTAAATAAAATCTACCAGTATGTTTTGACATATTTATACAATCAGGTCATTTACAAAGTAATTAGAGATAATTTTACTTAATAACATTGACCGATAATATTTTATAAATGATAAGTAATTTGTTATATTAGGTTAAGTTGTATTGATGGTATAAATAACTTATTACACTATCAACACATGTAATGTAAATTCATAAAAAATAGACCCATTACTTTTTAAATGACACGATGATGTAATTACACCACTAATGCATAAAACTTTGGCATGTTATGGTGTTTCTGGTTTCATTCTTAGGAACTATTTTTATTTAGTTTTTAAATCCTGAAGATTGCCATTTGTTTTAAAATTAGGTTATGTAGTGTGATGCAAGGGCGAGACCAATTAGGTTTTTTAATAGATAATCGTCGACTCTTTGAACTTGCCACTTTGATGTATGGAATAATTATTTTGCTCGGATTAGACTTTTTTAAATAACATCACCCTAATTTGTCTAGTCTTATGTGATAGCTGCAATCAATTATGAGAGCATCAATACGACTATGTCTGAATCTCAAGACTATGACTAGTTAAGTTTTGCAAAGTATTGTGCTGAATATTTTTGGTCAGCCAAAGTGATATCATGAATGTCCACTTCTTCGTAAAAGAAAAATGATTTAAGTTATATATATTAGAAAATTGTAAAGATTTTTCTAAACAATCTATCAATATATTTTGATATATTTTTACAATCAGGTCATTTAAAAGACAATTGCAGATTAATAACATTGATTATTAATATTTTATAAATGATAAGGTTAAATTGCATTGATGGTATATATAAATAACTTATTATATTTTCAATGAATGTAAATTCGTAAAAATAGAGCAATTACCTTTCAAATGACCTGATATGTAATTTTCTTTCACCACTAATGCATAAAACTTTATGCTAAAAGAAAATCTTGGGCCAAGAAATTTGCTTGTTCATGTTCTTGTGGTACACTGCCGAAGCCCATATAATTAATTGGGCTTAACATCAAAGTAGAGATTTTTTTGGGGAAAAGTTTTCATAAATACATAAAAATCATAAAATATTATATAATCTACCACTACAGTCGATCTCTCTATAACAGCGTATATAACAACCATTCACTATAAAAGTCAAATTTTTATGGAACCAAATTTCATTCTATGTTATAATTTATGTTCTCTATAACAACACGTCGCTATAACATTAAAAAATATTCGAAACAAATGAGGCTGTTACAAGGAGGTTTGACTGTATAAAGTAATTAACATATTCTACAACTTATACAATAAAAGTGATAGCTCTTAAATACAGTAGCTTCCTATAAATGAGGAAACTGAATATGAAAGATATTTAATAAAATCAATTGGTCCTGAAAAATTCTCCATCGCAATTCCTATAAAATGGTAACTAAATATGAAAAACTCTCCATAGCCTTTTCATATGTATTTTCCTATTCTCAACAAACAATCCGTTCTTTATCCAATTCTCCTTCTCAAGTAAGAGAAATGTTCTTCAAATAAACTACCAAAAAAAAGAACAAGATATACATCATAATTAACATATATCATGTAAAATTTAATATTAAAAAAATTAATTTGTAAAAAACATGACATTATATCATAAAGGTATGATGTATTGTATATTATATTTACCAATTATATTATATAATTTATTGTATACTATATTTATTAATAGTATATATCAGATAAACTAAACTGATAATATAGATTAAAAATTATATTGTATTGTATAAGTATACCAATGTCATATTAGTTTATATTATATCATATATTGTATACGATATTTATTAGTAGTATACATCAGATTTTTTCTTATTGTATACATCAGATAAACTAAAGTGATATTATACAATGAACGTCTGTTGTATTGTATACTTATATACCATTTTCAAATAAGCTTATACTATATAATATACTATATACTATATACCATATTAATAATATGCATTAGATACATTCTAATAATAGGGAAGAGGCTTGGGACATCGGAATATATTCGAATCCGTTAATGGAGAAATTGAGAAAAAATTAATACGAAAAGATACGTTTTAGGTGAGAGAGAATCTAAAGATAGATATATAAGGATATGTTTTAAATGAGAGAAGAAAGAGATAGTTGGGATATGAAAAGTTGTAGATTTTAAAATAAATTGTATGTATGTAATTTTTTTAAAGTAGTTGTACCTTATATAAATAAGTTTTAAATAAGTTACGTTGTATTTTGTGTAAATTTCTCTTTCTATACCTAATTTAGCCTATTATATATATAATTTAAAACTTCTTTCACCTTTTAACAAGATATTAAAAAGATCTATATGTTAGAAACTGATTTGAGATTAATATTCATCTTTATCATCAAAAATTTAAATATTGTTGGATGAATTAAAGTGGAAGTTAAAAACTCTATTGTTGGGGTTTCTTAAAGCTTGAAAATTTCATAACCTGAGTTTTTTGATGTATTGAAATGTTTGACAAATTGATGATTGAAGTTCGATGAGAATGTCATTTGATGTGGGATAGTACTGTATATGTTGTTGTTGTTAACACTTAAAGCTAATTGGTGAAAATTTAAACTATTTGGTATGTTTTTCGTGAGTTGAAGTTAGCAGGAGATAAAATTCAATTTTGTGTATAACATGATACAATATTATAGTAAGTGTATAATGTTATATACCGGGTGTATATTTATTGTTGCAAAAAATAAATAACGGGCCTTGCAGCTGTAAAATTACAAATACAGCTACTTAGGTGCAATGTAATGTATTGCATAGTACTTTTATGCAAATCAGATCTATTAGATTAATGATATACACGTAACCTAATTGTCCTTTTCTATTGTGTGTGAGAATTATTTGTGGTAGAATTATAAGGTTTCCCTTTCAGAACCTCAACCTAATTAGCTAAGTTAGGGTTCTGTGGCGCTTCAGTTCCAAGTTCCAACACCATGGCCGAACTCTGCCGCATGTCTCAAACTGTTGAAGAAATCTTTAAAAAACCAACAAATTCTCGTACAAATTCCTTAGACCCGACATTGCAATTACCGGATCATCTTCTCCATTTGATCTTCTCCTTCCTTGGATGTCGAGCCTGTTGCGGAAGTCAAATATATATAGTGTGAATGAGTCACAACTACTATATCAAAAATTATTACAGCCACCAAATAATAAATAAGACAATAAAGTAACAATAAAAGGAATACCAGAATTTACGAGGTTCGGCCAATTTTGCCTACTTCCTCGGACACAACCAATATCTTATTCCACTTCAAAATACAAGTGAAATAATACTAAAGAGAGAAGATACAAATGTCTTAAGAAGATAAGAAGGCAATTGAGGGGTGTGTTTAAATCCTAAACATTAGGCCTTCTTTCATAGGGAAAAAATCCCAACCAAATATGTCACACACCGATGTGAGACTTTTGACATTTTAAACAAATCTTCACCTTGACAAACTTCCACATCTTCAATTTTCTCTCAATAAGAAATTTTGGTTGTGTCTTCATCTTCAATCTTCAGTGTTCAACAATGTTGATCAAATCCAAACAATGTTGAAGCTTGACCGCAGTCACCACCTTTGTCAGCATATCAACAGAATTCTCCGTAGTATGAGTTTTCTTCACCTTGACTCCACCTTCTTCTATGATTTTTCGTACGAAATGATGCCGAACATCAATGTGCTTCGTCCTTGCATGATAAACTTGGTTCTTCGCTAATTGAATAGCACTTTGACTATCACAAAAAATTGTGATACCTTTTTGTTCAACACCAAGCTCCTTTAGCAATCCTTGAAGCCAAATTGCCTCTTTCACAGCATCTGTAATAGCCATGTACTCTGCCTCTGTTGTAGACAAAGCAACTGTTGACTGCAAAGTAGACTTCCAACTAACTGGTGCCTTTGCAAAAGTAAACGTATAACACATAGTTGATCTTCGTTTGTCCAGATCACCCACAAAATCTGAGTCACAATATCCAACTGTAGATTGATTACCTTCCTGCTAAAAAACTAACCCAACATCTACAGTATTATGAATATACCATTGAATCCGCTTCATAGCTTGCCAATGCTCTTTTCCTGGATTATGCATATATCTGCTAATAACTCCAACAGCTTGTGAAATGCCAGGCCTCGTGCAGACCATTGCATACATCAAGCTACCAACATCATTTGCGTATGGTACCTTTGACATATACTCTCGTTCAGTTTCATCCTTTGGCGACATAGTAGTACTTAGCTTAAAATGGGAAGCAAGTAGAGTACTAACTGGCTTAGTCTTTTCATCTATACCAAAATGTTGTAGTACTCCTTTCAAATATTCTTTCTGAGATAAACAGAGTTTCTTTCAACGTCTATCTCTTATTATCTCCATGCCAAGAATTTTCTTTGCCTCACCCAGATCCTTCATCTTGAACTCCTTCTTCAGTTGAATCTTCAACTTATCAATTTCTTCCAAATTCTTGGAAGCTATCAACATATCATCAACATATAGGAGAAGATATACAAAGGAACCATCTTTAAGCTTGTGCAAATACACACAATGATCGTATTTGCTTCTCTTGTACCCTTGCCGCAA